CGCAGCCTGCTGCCGCCGAGGGGAGGGCGAGCTGGGAGCCCAGCCGCCGGGGAAGCCGCTTTGCCGCCACCGCAGAGGGGTCTTGGGGTGTCAGGGGAGAGCAAGCGGTTGCAAATCTTCCTCCCTTAAAAAAAAAAAAACAAACACAAAACCCCAAAATAACCCCCAAACAATCCAAAACCCCAACAACACAAAAACCAAACAAACAACAAACCCCAAACCCCTAAAGAGCCCTGGTGCGGCTCCTGGGTCGCCGCCTTACCGGGGTTCGGGCGCAGGGAGGGCTGCGGGGACCCCTTGCATCCCCAGGTGGGGTCCTCCGTGCCCACAGGGCTCTGCTGCGGAGGCTTACACCCATTTTTCGGAGATCCAGGACGTCCTTCCGCGTGGTTTTGGGTGCTGGGGCGAGAGGCTGGCGGTTCCACAGGGGCCCCCCCCGCCGAAATCCGTACCTTTACCGTTAGGAATTTCTGCTTTGCTTTGTTGTTATTGCTGTTGTTACTTGGATATTTTCGTTTCTTTCTTTCTTTTTTTTTTTCCTTTCTTTTGTTTTTTTGTTTTTTTTTTCTCTGTTTGTTTTACTCCTTGAGGCCCCGCGGGCCGCCACACAGGGCCCACGGGGCCACGCGTGGCGCGAGAGTGGGTCTGACCCAGGGAGCGGGGCTGGGAGGCGGCTGCCCCCTCCTCCTGACAGACACTCGAAGTGGGAAAGGCCATCTCTGGAAGAGAAATTTTCATATCAAAGCAGCCCAAGAACAGCCCTACAAAACAAAAAGCAGGAGGGAGAGGAAGGGAACTGCCACCCCACCACCCCCACCAGCCCCAAGGCCTCCACCATGGTTTCCGAGGCTGGAGCAGTTTAAATCCGAATTGTTTCTGTGTAAGGATGGGTATACACGCAGACAGACCGATGGACGCTTTCTTAATGCCGAGGACGAGTGCCTGTTTCCAGCAGCTCAGATTTAACGCCACCGCTCTGCAAAATGGCATTTCTCCACTTATTTGCTACAGCTTCAGGATCTGGGCCCAGGACTTTAGTGGAAGCCATCCCCATTCCTTGATTAGATAAAAAAAAAAAAAACCTCGAACAAACAAAAAAATCCCAATCCTTTATTTTTTTTTGCGTGGATCCAATCCTCATTCGTGTGCGTTACATAAAATCTCTGCGACACAAATGTTTTTGCAGAGTGAAAGAAGCTGGGGAAAAAAAGATCCGAGCTCCCTCATTCGTAATTCTTACCAGCAATAATCTTTCTCCCCCTCTCCCCACAAAAGCAGTAGCAAGTGAATTTCGCCTTTCCCTGTCTCTTAGTTAAATGCAAAGCAAATTCGGTGGCAACGGCTGTTGATCGGTCAATAATCCTCTACTCCCGACAGCAACAGGGTGGACTTAAAACCTCGAATTTGCACCAGACCCAAGAATAAGAGAGGAAAAAAATTGGAAACAGGAGGCTGGGTTGTGCGAAAAGTATTTAGAAACGGGGGGGCGGGGGGCGGGCGAGGGGAGCCGGATTTTTTTCGCACACTATTAAATCCTGCTAAATGATTGAATCAGGATTGTAATAAAGTGCCCCGGTTTATGGTGAGCATACCAGCAGGGTTATTAGAAAGCCGAGGAAATCCAGCGAAATAATCACTTTTATAAAGTGAGCTCTGCGGGGTGAAGGAGGGGACAGTGCCGGGATCCCTCTAGCCGAGTTTGACATTCGCAGGCCAAATCAAATCCCTCTATGGTTCTACCCTGGAGGCCTTGCTTGGGCAATGCTCCCCCTCCCCGCCGGATCCCGTAGGATCGTTGCCAGGCTAAAGATCCCAGCACGGCCCTACGGGGGCGGGGGGGACACGACATATCTCCCACGCGACCCTTGGACTTTGTCCCCCGAAAGGCTGCTTTAGGCTGTGGGAAATGAAAAGGGGTATCTGCAAGATTATTCACATGCCGGTGCCGCGGATGCACTTCGCATGTGGTTGTTGATGAACCATAGGGTGTCCTCGGGCTGTACCTCACGTTTCTGAAAACACACGCGCGGATAGGCATGCACGCCGGTATAGACGCACACGCACATAAATACGCTATCAACACACGAAGGGATCGTGGTTGGAATTCAACCTGCAGCCATTCAGGTCAAAAGCAAAAAACCTCCCGAGGATGGGGTGGGGAGGGGGAAGAGGGAGCGAAGCTGAGGATGAGATTCGAACGGCTGCGGCGC